GGATGTGTTAAGAAAATGAGGAGAAATTTCCTGAATTAATCAGTGGAACAGAAGTTGCCTCCAGAAGTTGTGAATGCCCCAACACTGGAAGTCTTTATGAAGATGTTGGATAGCCATTTGTCTGAAATGGTATAGGGTTTCCTGCCTAGGCAAGGGGTTAGACTAGAAGACCTCCAAGGTCCCTTCCAACTCTACTATTGTATTGTATTGTATATCAGTTATAAATAAGTCAAAATTCATTTAACACAAACAATAGTCCTATTTTTTTAAAAAAAAGTTTGCATGCAAAGAAAAAATGTAAGGAAGACAGCTCATCCCCATGCTAATCAAAACTAATTCGACATCTTGTTGGGCCTTGAAAGCTAATCCATTTATTATGGAGTAAATTTTTGTGGACTTTTGTCCTCTTTGCTGGGTGTGAAACATTCTTCCTCCCTTCATTTAGCACTAGCAATATACACTAGCTTTATAGACAGCTTCATGGTGCTTTACAGTGCTCTCTAAGCAGTTTACAAATTCAGCATATTGCCACCAACAATCTGGTCCTCATTTTACTGCTCTTGGAAGGATGGTAGGCTGAGTAAACCTTGAGCCAGTCAATCATGTGCTGTTTAAAGTGTTTATGTGGCTGCCCAACATAAGATAATGTAACTCTGGGCTGTATACGAAAGGAAAGAAACAACACTGACTTGAAGGCAACAAAAAAACCCCCGAGGTAACATATTTTCTCAAAATATGAATTGTATAGGAAGAAGCATGATAAATGGATTCATTTCTTTGAAAAACAGATTGTGTTAACTTTAACTTTGTTGTTTTTTGCATAACTCTTTAAAATTTTATCTAGCTAAATGTGATTGTTCTGCCTGAGGACTGAGAATCTAATGGATTCAAATCAGGCAGGCAGGTATCTATTACAATTAAAGAATAACTCTGCAGGTATAAACCTGGGAGAATGCCAGTAATGCCTGTTCACCCCATCCTCCCTAGTCATCTTTTTTTCTTAATTAGAACTGCTAAATCAAAAATTTAACCTCAAGCTTAAGTTATTCCAAGAATGGCTCCCCACAGAGAGAAGCCATGTAACAGGTCACTACCCAAGTTATAGCAATGCATTCCATCTGTTGGAAATTTCCATTTGTTTTAGAGGCTTCTATCAGTGTGCCCTGATGAACCAGATGAGGTGGATAAGGAAGTTGCTCCTCCTCTTGCTGTTTAGAAAGTACCACATTTTTTTGGGGTGCTGAAATCCCAGAAATTTATATCACTAGTAGTGGGAGACACTCTGAGCAGAGATTTGCAGGACTAGTCCTACAATTAGGCAGAATGTGGCAGTGGTTTTAATTTGTAGAAACCATAGTTTTCCTAAACAGCCTTACAAGTCGTCCTCATTTAGCTACTGCTTCAGTTAGAGACCATTCACAATTGCAGCAGCAATGAAAAAGTAAGTGTACGACCTTTTCAGATCTACAAATCAAAGCTGAAATAAGATCATGAGCACAGTTGTGATTTTACTCCTCGACTGCTTTTCTTAATGACTGAGTAGCCAGTCCAATTGTGGTCACTAAACAAGAACTACATTTGCTATTTTTTATCTCCTGAAGATACAGCTGTTTTCTGCTTTCTTAACTAACCTCCTATGGTACATGCAGGCATTGATCCATCGGCAGTACAAATTCTAGTTTTTCTGAATGTGGAAAAGAAACAGATTAGGAACTGTTCTTAGTTCTGATGTCCAGAAACATCTCCTGCTGAACTCTAGAATATAAAAATCATCCCTCCCATTAGAAATCTTCTGTATAATATCCCCAAGGCCTACTGTAATATTAATTAGTTAACAACAATAATTTTACTTTTTTAAACTTTTACTATTTTAATAATAATTATTACTAATATTAATGCAGTTCAGAAGAAAAAAATGATGTGTAATTGCACAGGCAAATTAAAGTCTTTACATGGCACTTAAGAAAGGAGTCACCCTGAGTAACCTCATTATCTTTAAGCCTTATTTTATTCAGTGAAATTGATTCCCGAAGAAGTGAGTGGTCTTGCAAGCTGAAGCTTCGTTTCTGCTTTACAAGGCTTTGAGTGTACATTGAAAAGTTCTATGTTGTGGGGAAAGATATAGAAAAAGTCAGCTCTATATATCTATATCTGTATCTATATTCAAAGGTCATGGTAGTGCAAAACCTCACTGTGTGAACATTGAATTAATGAATGGCAAATGTTACATCCAGTGGTACCAAGCAAAGTTATGGGAAGACATGTCTGCACTTGATTTCTTAATAAGATGCCTGGAACTTTGGTTGTAATAGACTCCTAGGTAACAAATGCATTGAAGTGAGAAAAAAAAAATCAAAAGATTTGTCGTCTTCCAATTCCCTATTGGATCTAGATAGAAATGTGGTTATTTCCTTTAGACAAGGACATAGGCAACCAGTAACTCTATCTGTGTTTTTTAAAAATCCTCAGTTCTTTTTAGATCTAGCCCACATGGCTTATATGAGACATAGTTATAGTCTAACTAAATAGGCTACAAGTTATTCATCTCTACTATAGACCAAAGCAGAATTCCTTCTCTTTAACTTGAGTCCTCCAAGCATGTTGGATATTTTTTTCTAGTTTCCTGGCTCACATGATGAAATAATAAGTTTTTAAAATTTTAATTCATGTCTTGGTGGCTCATTTGAGTTGCTAATGAAAACTAGATAGCCTGTGCAAATCCATTGCTTTGGCTGGTGTACTCTCCATTGTGCTATGTGATCAACTGGCTGTAACCAACTTTTCTTCAAATCATCTTGCTGTCCTAGATGTAGAAACACTACAGTATTTAGGGAGAGAAAGGGGGGATGTACGAAGTAGGGATACCAACTAAGTAAATCCCTTTTCCTTCCAAAGTAACATTTTATTAGTAGCGCTTCTGCATCTATGGGATAGCAGAATGCAGTGAATAGTTTCTTCAAATGGTTAAACCAGAGTATATCAAAAGAGAAGCTAGGCTTCTAAATCTTGCAAAAATCATGTATGTTTAAATTTTAATTTAAATTAATTTAATGTGAAAAAGCAGAATCCCACCTTTGAAAAAACAGTGATGTATAGTCAATATATATATATATATAGTTTTGACAGTATAGTTTTGATTTCTCAAGGCTTATTTTTTCTTCTTCTCAAGTTTTCTGATTAATAATAATAATAGTAATAGCAACAACAACAATAAACATGTTACAATGATATCCATTGTCATCGGGGCACTTGGTACCATATCCAAGAATTTTATAATATACATCAATAAACTGCACCTTCCTACAATAACACTAGAGGAACTGCAAAAAACTGCTACTCGGAACATCGTATATTTTAAGAAAGTAATTGGTTGATACCTAGGATGCTGGCAGCAACCCGTATCAGCCATTAACACCAGTCAATGGTGTTTGTGATACATTTTTGAACGTTCAGTTGACTGAGTTTCATGCTTAATGAATAAAGTATAGCAACAACAACAACAATAATAATAAACAACTTGAAAAGTATTGAAGGCAAAGCTGACCAAAAACTAACGTGGAACTGGTTAAGATCAGGAGTACGGAAAAAAGAAACAGAACGCTT